TGCCAGCTGTGAACACTGGGATCATATAATGCACTTACACCTGCGCTTCTGCACAGCTGCGAAGCGTCAGTATTCAGAGTGCCATCCCTACATCACACAGCCAAAATCATGTTCGCTCGCCCTTACGGGTTGGTAGCTGCTGCAGTCCCCTCCTGAACGATAGGTGTCACCACTCAAACAATACAAAATCAACGATGAGGAGAAGTCAAAACCGAAAGCAAAAAAATCTTCTTCTTTTTTCCCCCAAAATAATTCCCAGAAAGTCTCATCTTTATAAACTGTATTACAACAGTGGCCATATCACCTGCATGGAACAGTTTGCTCGTAAAACACTTTATGCTCTGCTTCTGCGTAAAGTCCAGTTCACCATTAACTTTTTATAATTATTTGAACAATTCTCTGAGCTTCCGTACTAAAATGTCACCAGCACGATCTTACAGTCGTGTCTTCCCAGGTTACAAACGCCAAGGGGCAAATGACCAGGGCAAACAGCAGCTTACGATATCGGATGTGATGTCAATTTGACCTCAAATTTGTCTGGTAGTGGGGTCAGAATAGTCGTTTATTCTTCCTAACTCCAGGGTGTCGTTTGCATTCAACCGTTGGACGTTACATCTTTAATAACACCAATAATAACAAAGGTTTCGAAACTCATCTGACGTCAGACCCAGAGCCCGAACAACAACCTGAAGCGTCATTACCAGTGGCGCAGACAAAACTGAAGGAGTACAGCCTGTGGCACACAAATCAGCTAAAAATGGGAAAAATCTACCAGGTTGTGGTTAGTACATTTTGGGGTAGGAAGACGGTGATTGACTTGGGCAACACTGAGGAGCAGTTTAGGAGCATGACAGTGTTACAGCTGAAGGAAAAAAATACGGAAGACGTTTCCAGACATCCCAGGTAAAGATAACACGGAAACACCTGTAACGCACTTTTCTGACTTGATGGCCGAAGATGACGGCAATGTAGTATCTGAAAAGTCGTTTTACTGATGCCCATTAACACTGGTTAAAGAATTAACGAAAAAAAGGGTACAAAAGTATCCAGCTGTCTGTGAACGTTTGATTAGACCACAGAGTACAAACTTCAGCTTCCACGTGCTGAAATAAACCTAAAAGAAAATCAAGTGTATCAGATGACTGGATGGGGACAAACCAAAACTGATGGTGAACCTGTTGATGAGCTGATGGTGGTGGACGTGTCTCTCATTGAACCAAAGGTCTGTAAGAAACAGTGGCCTGGTCTTACTTCCACTGTTATCTGTGCAGGTGGATATGGGACAACCAAAGGATTCTGTCAGATGTTTTCTGTGATTTCAGTGAAAACTTGTGTTCTGTTGACAAATGTATAAATAAAATAATATAATCTGACAAATTAAAAAAAAAAAAAAAGAAAGAAAGAAAGAAAAGAAAAAAAGGTACAAATTAAACTGTCTGTGTTGGGTGGGGACCCCAAGGTTTATTATATATGGAAACAGTACAAGTTAACATCCTATATTTACATTAAACAAGTAAGCAGCTATAACGTACTACTGTAAAATCTAAAGCTAAATTAGGTGGCATTATGCAGCACAGTTTAATAGATCAACTTTTTTGTCAAGGCCAGGACTATTCTTCAAAATTTTGCAGGCACAATTAAAGTTGGGGTGATCCCATCCCTTAGATTTACCAGGTGCAGTGAGCAGGTTGGCTAGAAGATATAAGAAAGCACACCACATGAAGTGTGCAAAGATACGTTATTAATGGTAGGTTTGCATGCAAGGACTGTTGTCCAGGTGGCAGTGAATAACTCCTCCTGCGTTATTTCCTGTGTTTTATTGTGACATGGTCACTCCTTGAATTAATACTGGAACTCTGCACTTTAATTGTTTCTGGAGAGTTTAATTTCAAAATGTCCTAAAATTTTTAGAAATATAGCAATTTTTAAGTAATATGTATTTAATGTTAGTTCTCGAGAGCAACCTAAATTTAGAGGTCGAATTCAATTTGATGAAGGAAATGTAACGGGGCAGCACGGTGGTTAGCACTGTTGCCGCACAGCAAGAAGGTCCTGAGTTCAATTCCACCATCATGCTTTCTTTGGGTCTTTCTGTGTGGAGTTTGCATGTTCTCCCTGTGTTTGCGTGGGTTCTCTCTGGGAACTCCCACAGTCTAAAGACATACACGTAGTGGGGATAGGTTAATTGGAAACTGTAAATTGCCCATAGGTGTGAATGTGAGCGCCAATGGTTGTCTGTGTCTATGTGACAGACTGGCGAGCTGTCCAGGGTGTACCCTGCCTCTCGCCCTAAGACAGCTGGGATAGGCTCAAGCACCCCGCGGCCCTGAAAAAGGATAAGCGAATGGATGGATGGAAATGTAACATTTTTCTTAGAATAAAATTGATTATAATAAATGTCCATCAGTTTCCCCTAACTCAGTGAATAACATGAATAAATGTCAAATTTTACTCTGTGTGTTTGTTTCAGAGAATTGGAGGATGATCTTTACAGATGAGCGTCTGGATTATGACGACCGCCTGATATCGAGTTATGGAATACACCACTTGTCTGTCATCCATTTAGTGGAAAAGCTTTCTAGAGGAGGATATCCAGATGATTTGCCTACCGAGCAAAACAGTGGGATGGGTGACAAGACTGGCAAAAACCTAAGTATGGAAAAACTTTGCAATATTGAAACAACAGGTCAATGACCTACCGAGGGAAACAGTGAGCTTTGTGCCAATAGTGGCAACAAGTGTAAATAAAAAACAGAAAGGAAGAAATCTGGCTTTTAAAACATTTTATTGACACAATAAAACAATACTTCAGTGTCCCAAGAACCCAAACAGTTTATTCAACATCCTTTCTGGTTAGCATAACAAGAAATATCCCCAACTACAACCAGTGAGTGGAAGTTGTCCTCCAGTTATAATAGAGAGCTTCTGCCCCAGTGCTACTGGCAGGGAACCTGTGTTTGATTGTTGTGTTACAAATCTGTCTCTGTCATTTTTAAAATGGTTCAACTAGGCAGACAGCACACAACACAAAGAGACAATGATACATTCAGTATGAGTGATGTTTAAAATGTTTAGACTTTCTCTGTCTGGAAACTAAAAACAAATTAATGCACCTCATGTAAATGTATTTATGATGTAATGATAAATGTGGTGAATGATTCATGTCAGCACAACAGGGATGTTCTTGGGATACTGACAGTTTAAAAAAAGACCCTGCTTTTCTTATTTTTTTGTTTTTCCTGAATTTAGTGTCACTTCCCACTAAACATATTAACCAGCTAACTGTTTTAAATTGAGCTAATACAATGAAATTAGCTAAAGTTGAAGTTTTTTCTATATGAAAATACACTCTATAGACACAAGTTAGTTAAAAACATCCCAAATCTGTAAAAAAAACAAACAAACAAACAAACAAAAAACGTTTCTTGTCTGATATTTGCAGACATGGTATGTAGTTGCTCCTGCTGACATTTACAATATTTTGTATATGTTTGTTGAATACCGTTACACGTGTCAGTCTTGTAGATGTTATTTTGACATTCATCTGTAGGGGATGCTACAGCTATTCCAGGGGAATTTATATTTTACATTACCAGATCTACATGGCCAAATTAACCCCTTTTTTAAAATGTATTTATTTTTGTGTGGAGTTTGCATGTTCTCCCCGTGTTTGCGTGGGTTCTCTCCGGGTACTCCGGCTTCCTCCCACCGTCCAAAGACATGCAGCTTGTGGGGATAGGTTAATTGAATAATCCAAATTGTCACTAGGTGTGAATGTGCGAATGAATGTGAGTGCGAATGGTTGTCTGTCCCTGTGTGTTGGCCCTGCGACAGACTGGCGACCTGTCCAGGGTGTACCCCGCCTCTCGCCCTATGACAGCTGGGATAGGTTCCAGCGCCCCCCGCGACCCTGA